TGTTTTCAGTTTAAGGAATGTTTCATAAGACGTCTTTCAAATTTTTTTTTATATGATATTACCAACTTTTGAATTGTGGTTTATTATGTTGTTTGATACTTGTATTTTCTTATTCCTATAATTGTACATAAGCTTATCACTGGCCTACAGTCTCTCTAAGTGTAGTTTCTCATAAGCATTTTTCTTTCTCATCAAATGTCTGTTTGACCTGCTTTTGTGTGGTCTGCTAACAGGAGAGGTATGAAACGCAGCACTCTGAGGCAGTCAGGCAGATCTCAACTCTAGAAGGAGACCTGGCAGAGACCACAGCCATCAAAGACCAACTGCACAAGTATATCCGGGAGTTAGAGCAAGCTAACGATGACCTGGAAAGAGCTAAGAGGTGCGTTTAGTGCTTTTGCCAGAAATATACAGTATGTCATACATTCTAGATATTTATGACTTTAAAGCAATTTATTGCCAATACCTGTCTATCCTTTTCTTATAGGGCGACTATAATGTCACTTGAGGACTTTGAGCAGAGAATGAATCATGTTATAGAGAGAAATGCCTTCCTTGAGAGTGAGCTTGATGAAAAAGAGAATCTTCTAGAATCAGTACAGAGATTAAAAGATGAAGCCAGAGGTACACTCAGTGGAAATCTGTTTGTATATACACTATTCACTCTTATCTAACTGACGAACTTCCATTTTCGTTTATAATTAATAGTATAATCACCTGATTGGCCAGTCTCAGATGTTTTAACAGATTCAGTGTTTGTGTGCTAATTGTGTTCTCTTCTTCCTCCTCTTTCTCTTTCTCCTCGGGGCAGATTTAAGACAGGAACTGGCTGTTCAGCAGAAACCGGAGCGCAAGTCATCAATCAGCCTTTCTAAAGATGTAGAGAAGCCAGAGGCCACACCCTCCAGACCCTCCTCTGTTGTTACCTCCGCTCTCCCATCTCTCCATGCCACACCCTCCAGACCGCCAGGCTCAAGGAGTGCATTTAACACCCCCTCAGCTTCCTACAGCAGAAGTGAGCACAAACACAGCCACTTAATTCTGTAACTGGCCCCCAGGACAGTATCCACTGGTGTGACTAAAGGTTTCCTGCACATTTCTTTTCAATGCTGTGCATAACACTTAAGTTACTGCAGTTTAATGATACTAAATCATTTGCTTTCATGCAGAACATTGTATTTTGCATACAAGAATTTTGAGTCAACTAAGTGTTGGGAAGGATTGGTGAAGTGGGGAGAAAGAACAAATTTGAAGGATGGAGAGGAGGAAAAGAACATTTCCCACATCTTCCAGCCTTACATTTTTAAAATTTAAGAGTTTAAATGTTGATTTATTCACTTAATTTTTTTTGTCATGTCCAGTTGAAGGCCTGACTGGAACTCCTCTCACCACATCTGCACGTATATCTGCCCTCAACATCGTTGGAGAACTGTTGAGGAAAGTTGGGGT